CATAATAGACATACATACATATATATATATATTTATTTATATATAAAACTTAATGACCGTCAACAGAAAGTTTGATGTTTTATTATTTATATTCAATACCTTTTAATTATTAGATACAGACCCAGTTGAAAGAATCAGGTGATTAGTGCAGTTATTATGTTAAACATTTTTTTTATAATTACATTACTCAACCCAATAACTACTACCAAGAAACAGTACCTGTACTTTCTGGAGTTAAAGAAAAAGTACCAACTCCACGCTAGCTGTTTATTATTTGATTCAGGAGTTTTTCTCAGATAATAAACTTCTTTAAAATCATAACATCCATTGCACTCAGTAAAACAATACCAGTTTCTTTGCACTTTTTAACAAAGCACGTGCATACCTAATATAATAAGCTATTACACAATTTTTTGTAACATATTTATTTTGCTGTGTCTGTTTTCCTCTGAGAATATGTAACAAAATGAGAACTTTCGATTATTTTATGCACAGTACAAAGTTGTTATTATTGTTTAGTAAAATGCACAAAAATGTAACAAATACTCTTTAAATTTCTTTCTTAGTGAAGGAGCAAGAAAAACATTTTTTGAAGTAAATTATTGTATTTTATGATATTAGTTTCAAAAATACAACCACTTTGTGTTTTTGTGAAGAAACAGGTAAATATGCCAACACCACAGAGCACAGGTCGTGGCCAATAAATTTTGGCAAAAATTTGGAAGGCTTCCAAAGACAGCACACCGGAGATGGAATACAAAAAAGTAGAAGTGTTATACACAGTGAGAATTTGGAATGGATTATTAAGAATCTTAAAGACACGTAGTACTACACTATCAAAGCTATTTATACAAAATGAAATCTACTACAGTTGAAGCATTACATGTTACTGACAGAAATATTGATACTGATCACAAGTAGCCCATTGTATCAACCATCAGGAAATTTAATCTTGTACTCAACAGTTATTACCAATAGTTAACAAAAAATTCTGCAATATCAAAGTAATGTCTTTAATACAAATTGTGGATTAATGCACAATGACTTGTGTGACATTAAATCACATTATGTTTTTTTTTAAGTAACAATATATAATTTTAAACAAACATACATAATGCTTATAAGAAAAGTGAAAAAGAATCTACTGATACATAACAGATAATAAAAACGTGCCTATTAATGTAGAGTTAAACCTATTCTATTTCAACACAGTAAATCCTGAATACTTGAAAATAGCATCAAACATGAAACAAAGGGCTACTTTTTTTTTAAACACTCCATATGACTGCAAAGTGATTTTTTTGTAAAAATAAAACTAAATTAAGGCAGTGGTACCACATGACTTATTCTGTTGATATTAAATTATAATAATAATAGTCTCAAATGCTTTATAAGTGTGCACTCAAACATTCTAAGCTCAATGCCAATTATTTGTAGATTTCAGGTCCTTAGCCTAAGAGTCTAAAGACTGATGAAACAAACTGTAAATAAAACATTTGTTTTTAAGACTCAAACCCAACGTAATAGAGCTATCTAGCTATACTATATATGAAATGTCACCTGTAACTGATTACCCTTTGAGCTTAGATGAATATTTGAGCATTCATAATATCATTCACAAGGCTTTTAGATAGAATAAAGTAACAAAAAACAGTGGTTATTACTGAATAAAACTGTAAACAAACTGATATACCACTATAAATTTAAAGACACTAATGCAACTACTTGATCTACAAACTGATCTCAGCCTTTTCCTTTGCTAAGACATTAAATCGCTTTGAATTGTTCAGTTTTTATTTACTTAGAAAATGTAGTGAAATATATAGTCTTGCACTAGTCTTTAACAAAGTATTCAACATACAAAATACTTCCTGCTATCCTGAAATTCAAAATAATTTAGGTATGGTATGTAATACTAAGAAAACATACAAAGAAACTATCAGAATTCCTGAATAAAATACATTTAAAGAAAAACGCTAAATGCTGTTTATGCACTTTCAATAGTATTTAATCTCTGGATGTTTACTTTATAAATTTTTAATTATGGGAATCATTCCTCTGTCTGAAGGAAATATACACGGTTAAAAACACTGTGCAGGCTACAATCTCTACTAACTTGCTAATAGTACAACATGCATGAAAGGTCAATTATATCTTTGGTCAATTTACCGGACTACAGGAAGGCTAGGCCAACCTTATCACACACACTGATAACCACAAAGTTTTACAACAAAAGTTGTATCTTAGAACAAATGAAAAAATGTGTCAAAACCAGAATAACAGAAGTGATATCTAAAGCACCAGAAACAAGCCTGAAAACTTTTAAAATTTACATTTAACAATGATGTTTTAAAAAACATTGGTATGGAACTATGGGAATCTTTCATTTTTCCTCATTTTGCAGTTGTTGGAAATGGTAATGATAAAAGATTTGGTTTCATAACAGTTGTCTAATCTGCTAAGATTATAGTTAAAAGTACCAGAACAATTACATCTGTTCAAATTATTCTTTACTTTTGTTTTTTACAGTCTACTAGTTTGCTAAGCCTCTTTTAAAGATCAGTAAAACTTAGTTCAAATGAAATTTTACAACTTCTTTGTAGGAATTTAAAAAAACAAAAACAAAATATACATCCTAGAAATGTCATTAAACAGTAACTTTATGTAATAACTTTCAAAACTTGATAATTTTGACTTGTTTTACATAAGAAACCTTGAAGTCACTTTATGCAGCCAATTTTCTCATTACTTAACTCAGCAGTTTCACTGTAATAATGGGGAAGATATTAAATTTACTGTAAAATTTAGAAGGCACATATAAATTTCCAAAATAAGTTTATTTAATATGCTTAAAGTCAAATTCTTCAGTATAGCTTAAAACCAAAATCTTTATTCACTTTACTAATATTACATTATAATGAGTTAAACATTTTAAAAATATTTTACATCTTTCCAAACAAATGTTAATTTTACCCATCGGTTATTCTGGTTTTGATCACATGACTTTTGAAGTCAAATGGAATATGAAGCTAAGTATTTGATAAGTTTTACATCAATACACAACATTTTAAACTAACATGACCAAATTTTAATCACAATAATACCCCGTTCCCTAAGAAATGAAACAATCATGACTTACAAATATCACATGGTATCACATATCATTCTGGTTTCATCCATTTATGGCAAAATAAAATGACAGTGTCCTTTAACCTGATGCAAACTAGCACTGTCTTCTGTTGTACTCTTTCAATAACTAACAGTGCTGCTTATTTCAAAAAGCTACATTTGCATCTGACAGCCAGAGAAAATGTACCAAACCTCCAGAAATATTACCACCTGCTGATATTCATCAGATTATAAGTGATTATAAAAAGGGAACATAAATTTTTAATTCAAACTATGCAGCTCCTCTCTCACTCAATTTCTTTAATAATTTTTTCATAACTACAATACTTGGTATCTTTGCCAATGATATATATTCATCATTTGAGTCATAGTTTTAAACACTTCTGAGAATGCATAATACTTCATTGCCTTTCAACAGTGATATGGCAAACTTAGCACATATTCTTATATAAAACAAAAAAATAACAGCAGGTGGCTCATAGGTTTAATAACCTATTTACATATTAGTTACTTTTATTTATTAGAACATTTTTTTTTTAAATAAATAATCTTTAAAGACTCCTGTGAATAATCATACAAATATTGTACAGAAATGGAAAAAAAACAAAACATACTTTCAGCTGAAAATAAAAATCTTCTCATGAAAATGGCCAAATAGAACAAATTAATTACAAATAAAACAAATTAATTATGTTAAATCAAGGGATGGTACACTTTCTCCCAAACTTTTAACAGCACCAATGTAAAGACAGCAACGATCAGCTGTCTTACAGGGAATGCAGACTTCAAGAGAGACAAACACAGATTCACTACGACGACTGCACAATTTGTACCCTAACTCAATTTTGATAACTTTAATAAGTTACTACAAACACTTCACTATCAACTAAACTTTTATATAACATTGATAAAAAGGTCTAGGACCTTTATTTTACCAATTTTTTTTTTCTACACAAATGTTGCATCTTCAAATCACTACACCTATACTGGCCACTGGGCAGTTTCCTTGACCACCACAGCAGATCACAGCCAGAAGACATGTAACATCACAGACAAGATCATACCTAACTTTTCAGTTCATCTGACTACAGCTTCTGGACATGCTGGCTATGCCAGTTTCACACATTTACAGGGTCTCACCCTATACCATGTGAGGGATAGGGAATGACATGACTTATTGCACAAATTTCATAAGCTTGGGTTAAAAATTGCTTAACAAGGAAAGCTGGAAGGATGCTGTGTTATGGAAAGGAAAACAAAAGCCTTGGAATTTAAAATTAATATTACCACAGTCATCTTGCTGTAGTTCTTTTATCACATAGCTCTGCCTATATACTATTTAATTCTTGGACTTTTTGAAATTAACTTGGCAATACTCCTTTTTAGCTGTGCTTTTCAACACTTCATGGTTCAGTTTATTGAACTACTAATCCATTTTGAGGGTGGTAGAAGGTGATGTTGGCTCCTGTTTAATCCCCATTTGTGAAAGAGCAACCAGAGCATTCAGACTGTTTTCTACTGGTTTACTTCCATCATATGTGCCATTCTGACCAGGCTTATCATCCAGATCACCCATCCCATTTGTGGCATTTTGAACAGTTGAGATGGTGCTATTCCTGTGATGATAATTATCTGTTTCCACTGACCCATTCAAGGGTGTTGAATAACCATTATGTATAATCTGTGGAGAAGTACCAGAAACAGATCTTGAGAGTGTTGTCACACACGAGTTTGAAGAGGGGGATATCATTCGATTATGAGCACCAGAAGAAACTCCAGTAGAAGAAGCTGTGCTCACATAGTCTCTACTTAACTTTGGTGGTCGTCCCCGAGGGCGGCCCTCTGGCTTAGGGGGGCTTATAACATGAACCTCGGATTCATCTTTTATCTGATTGGCCAGCTCTTTAATGACTCGAAGCCCTTCATCCATTAAAGTTTCCTGTACCAACTGCTTTGTGATTTGGGCATTTGTTCTTTTGTTAGCTGATGCAGCTCTCATTGCAGTGAATACATCTTGGGTCTGGAGGGAGTGGCTTGAGTCTTGAGATGGAGAGTTCTGATTATCCTGGCTCAAGGCTGGGGAAGAGAGTGTGCTGTAAACTGAAAACTGGGAGTCTGGAACAAAAACAAATTGATCATGAACATTTGAAGAATGTCATTTCACAATTAAAGTTGTCAAGGAATGTACATTTTAATGTCAACTACACTTAAAACTTTTTCAATTTAATGAATAATCTGTAAATATCCAATCATTTACATAATAAAATATTTAAACATTTCTTATATTAATAAAATACCAATCTCACATTATCATACAGTTTAAAACAATTTGCACATTCACAAGATAGGCTGAATATTTTTACTCAAAGTGAAACTAAATTACACACTGTCAAAAACAAAGAAAAGAGAGGATGAGAGAGACAGAGGCATATTAATCCAGCCAGCTATTGATTCCTAAGCATGCAATTATAATTACTTTTAATCACAATGGAAGAAACTTTCATAAATCAAGAATTTTAAAAGACAGACCTTCCTTGATCAGAAGTAAACAAAAAAATTCAAATATACCCTTTGTGATTTATCTACTTTTTTTTTTTATTTTAGGTACTTTTAAAGTACAGAAACAAAATTTCAATCAGAAATCATACAACTTTATACTGTTGTAAGCTATATTTTCATTGTTCTAATTCAGATGTTTGTTAAGAGGGCACATGATGTTAAGATCAAGTAGATTTATAAAAGTAGTCCTAGAATCCCTTGAATGTTCATGGATGTTAATGATCAAATGATTTTGTTAAATATCTAAAAAAGAGGTTACATTATAAATACAATTAAAGTATTGAGTCAGTTTTCAGTTCATTCAGTGACTGAGAAGTTAGTAAGTTTGTTAGTACTACATGTAAGTTTATTTGTACCATTATAAATACAAGTAAAGTATTGAGTCAGTTTTCAGTTCATTCAGTGACTGAGAAGTTAGTAAGTTAGTTAGTACTACATGTAAGTTTATTTGTACCTTAGTCGTAATAGTATTAATACCATGAAAAAGTAAATTTCTTTTGAAAGTTAAAACATTATTTGTAAACTAAGGCCTACAACTGTGTACAAGTAACAGTAGCCTATAGCAAACATTAAGGAAAATTTATATATTTTATCTTTATGTGTACTGGACTTGCTCAATGATAGAACATGTTATAAAACTGTTGTTAGAACTGGAATTATTTTAGTGAAACCAGATATTAAAATAGAACATTGGCCCAACTTCAGTATGGAAAATAAATCCAGAAGTGAGACTGAGGCTTTGTTAGTGTTGGTAAAACAATTAAATGAGGGTCAAGAAGATAGAGACAGAAAAATAAAAATAACACGAAGAAAGAGACTGAAAATTAGTGAAATGGGAAAGACATGATCGAGAATAAATTGTGAAAAATTAGAAGAATGTGACAAACAATTAAAAGAAAACAAAGAAGAAAGAGAAAAAATTAGAAGAACAAGACAGAAATTCAAGAGAGGAGTTAAAAGAAACAGGTATACAAAGGAAGATTAAAATAAAAAATAAATCTGGTTGAAGACAAGCTTGATAAAGCTATTGAAGATCTTCAGAGAGATTATAACAGCAAGATTGAAGAAATACATAAGGACACTGATAAAGTCAAAAGTGAAGTATACAGAAAGACATCTATGAAGTATGGAAAAATATTTATAACAATAAAATCAATGAAACAGAAAAGAAGATCAGTGACAGAATAAAACGACTGGAAAACAAATTGGTAAATGCAAAGATTAAACCATCCACACTAGTTTTGCATCTCCCCATTAATAACAACCTAAACACTATTTACTACAAAATATGGAATGGGAAAATCTATTTTGTCTACATCTATTACAACTACTGCTATGCCATTTGTGACTGCAGGACCTTCTTGGACTACTCCAGCCATGTTACTAATGAATCCAATTCCAGAATTTTGCTGGCCAATTCAACAATGCTACCTGATTGAAAAACCAATGGACTAAGATGAAAAGGTACCATAGGAGGCACACCAAGCTATTCACCTAACTGCCCATTTAAAAAGACCAGCTTTGATGACATTAAGTAAACTTCCAGATGAGACTTGTAACAACTATCAACCATTGTTAGCTGCCTTTTTCAACAGGTTTGGAATGACACACCAGATGAAAGTATCCATAGCAAAGTTCTGGAATAGGATATGAAGGAAACAAGAGATCTTAGTCAAACTTGTAGAAGATTTAGAAAGGTTTGGCCAATTATATTGTTACGTCTCCGTTTGTTAATTGATTTTTTCGTAACTTCGTTCCGAGGAAATTTTAATGACACAAGTCTTTACTTAATAAAACTGGTTTA